GGGACGGTAGTCCATTAGGAATTATCCACCCGAATGTGATTTGATAATGCAGATGAATGGTATATGCACAAAAGAGAATATCTCCTAAGGAACAAAAAAACTAACATTTCACAAGGTTTTAAGAATGACACCATTTTTCCTATTGCAGGCCGAGACCTTATTTAGCCACCGGAATCGGAAAGATTCATCCGAATGGAAGTTTCTGTCGCAGCAATTCTCCCGGATTAATCACCATAAATGACAGCCGTAACTGTACAATTCATCATAGTATCAACAGGCCCCATCGGGAACAAGTACAAGGTCCAAACTTCATACACTAAATGGAAATACAATAGCATCAATCTTATGCACCTGTTGATGGTGGAGTAATGGATAGCGGCTCGGATTGAGGAATCGGAGAGCCGTGTTCGAATTCCAGTCGAATCCATTATATTCAATTACATGCTAATACTCTTGGGAAAGGTATGAATCATCTTCTTCTTCCCCAACCCAGTTATGTGCAAATAGACAGGATTTTATACATGATCGCCTAAGCGTGTATCACGCATAGCACGTAACTAACTGATAGGTTAGCCTTCTTAGGAGTTACTTTAAGTTTGCCTGACTAACAAGTGAAGAACACCAGCCTAAAGAAGGAAAATAGGGCTTTGCATTTTGGGCCACCTTGACTGCAGGAGTTTCCAGAAGTTTGTCAATGTTGATAGCCAGCCAGTGTAATTAGCCACTCCGGATTCTACGTCTATTTACTTCAATAGCCTTTTCTGTGTTTGGATATGCCCGAAAAGCAGTAGAGGTTTAAAGTCAGGGTCTTGTTTCTTCCTTAGAAATATATTGAATAAGAAATTTTGTTGACTCCTATGTAAACAAAAATAAAAGGGGAAACTAAACTTCTAAGTATTTTGCTATTAAGAGGAACGCGTAAAAAATATGCATAAAATAGTATAAATTTGACCTTTTACAACTGACCTGTGACCTGTGCAAAAGTCAATAGCGCTACTGTTGGCACTTTCGACTCACTTGGAAAAAAAAAAGCAGAAATTTACCAAAATTTGAGCCAATCAGTCGTACCCTCAAAATGGCTCCTTGCCTCAAGAGTCTATTGGGACTAAAGCTCACTCCAGGCCTCAAATGGAATGCGTATATTCGTATCATCGCAAAATATGCTGCAAGAATTGTTAGTTCCTTGTATTTCTCCAGAAAATATCTAACTCTTGCTAACATGCTGTATCTTTACAAGAGTCGGATCAGATAAAAAATGAATAGTTCCCCAGTAAAGGCCCAAGTGCCACTCAAGGTAGAGGGTTACTGAGTAAGATTGTAAGGAATGTGGGGAGTAAGAGAATATTAGGAGGATGAATAGATATCGGTAGGCCCTGGACTTAAAGAGATGAAGATTTTAGTTTTCTGGGAAGCACTCTCTTGGGATTTGGTGGCACAAAATGAGAGTTTTGGTGAAGATACTGTCTGAACATAACTTGATAATTTATGAAAAATGAACGAAGGGAATGGGGTTGTTTTACCAACGTGAGCCCGACATGGCGGGTCCCAATTGTAAAGGTCCGAGATGGTAACTCGCCCGAATATCTGCAATAGTAATAGCGAGTTAGTAGTGAAAACCTGGAGACGTTTCGTCTGTTGGTTAAGAGTTGCAGGTTGGAGAATAATTTATTATCCACAGGACCGCGCGACGCTTTTGAACTCTGTTGAAACCGGACAATGAGGACTCGGCAGCAGAGAAGACCTTAGCAGACCGTTACCGATCATTAAGATAACATGGTGGTGCACCTATACAGCGCGGTATATATATATATATATATATTTACTAATAATCTGAGAGACTGGCATATCTGGGGTGTAGGTACCTAACCCTCACTGTCCAGTCTTGACAGCGTTCAAAAGTGTTGTGGTAGGATCCACCTAATTTGCATAGTGGAGTACCGACCATATAAATATGGTTGGTACCAGGAAGACGGGGGGAGGAATCAAGAGATTGTATGGATGAGTGAGTGCTTGTGTGAGTGCTTGACGGATTGAATGTGTCCTTATTTTCATAGTCCCGCATCGATTTCGTCCGGTTAACTGATATTTCTGCCACATTCAAAGTTTGTGGGGGGTTTTAATACTAACACTAATTTTGTTTAGTTTCTTGTAAATATAGTTCGACATATTGTATATACTCATTGGGGATTTTTAAAAAAAATGTTGTTTTATGCCCCCCTCCCCCACAGACAATATTTGTACATAAGGGGTGTATTTAGGATTTTCATTGAGTCAAAGAGGCATTTTGGTGGATGTAGTAAGAAAGGTATGGATAAATGTGTTGTTTTGGTGATAGGAATATTGTTTAGTATTATAGGGTCAGTGGTTATGGCTAGCTAAGTTTTATTTTAAGACAAGTGATGACCGTCCTTTTCCCCCCCCCTTTTCGGCCTTGTGCCACATTTGTACATACTACAATAAATAATGAGGAATCAAGAGATTCAATCCAGAGACTCTGCCCGACTGCGACTAAGTCAACACATTCTCCAGAAACGGTCTTCCCAAGAATATACAAAAGACTATATGTAAATATTGTGTACACTTTCTTGTTTCAATACATTTTGTTCTAAGTACATTTTGTGTTGTATTATTATTCCATGCATTAGTCAAGTTTCAACAAAAAGCGATTACGCGGCAATGTGATTATTTTCCACAATGCAAACTCTTTTCTCACAGACGAAATTTTCTTAGCCTCTAACAAATCAGTCAAAATTACTATGCCAGATGTTCAAAAGAGTTGCATTCCTTAGTTCCACTAATTTAGTGCTTCACCGCTAGGAGCCAAATTGTCATGAACAGAGCGTCAAATAATCCCCATTCCCTTCATATTTCATTGGTAACTGCTTCTTCCCCAGGACTTTCACTTTGTGGAACAAACTTTCTTGATTTCTACAATCGTAAGTTCTTCAAGGGTCAAGCGATATCTATCCTAGGCATCCTCAAAATAGGCACGTCTTCACTTCTTCTTTCTCCCTTTCTCCAATACAACAAGTTAATTCAGTAAACCTCTTGAGAAATCACGGTGGACTAATGGATAGCGACTCGGATTGAGGAATCGGAGACCTGAGTTAGAATTCCAGTCGAATCCATTAAATCACGTGCTAATACCCTTGGGAAAATTATGAATCCTCCTTTTCTCCCCCCAGCTATGGATAAATACCAGAACGGATGAAAACTGGTAAGAAGAAATGGCAACCTACTGCCGGAAAAAATCTACCTCGTTCGTCACGATCGCGTAAGCGTGTATCACGCATGACACATAACTGACTGAACCTTCCACCTTGGGTGAACAATAGTAAGAATAACAAAACCAAAACGAAGAAATTGAAAGGTATAGAATAACTTGAAAATATATTACGACATATCAACCAATGCTTACTTAATTGCTTATGCTTAATATATCAACATTCAGCTTAATTAATACCGAATTTTTTTTTATACATTATATCAGAGTCAATAGTAAACACTGATCTGATTTATACTTTAGTCTATACGTAAATATTGTTCAAGTTTATACTTTAGTCTATAAGTAAACATTGGTCTGGTTTATAGTTGAGTCTAGAGGTAAGCATTAATCTGGCTTACATTTAAGTCTATACGTAAAGATGGGTTAGATTTATACTTGAGTCTCGAGTTAAATATTGGCTACCGTCCTGGGTAAGACGATAAACTACATCCAACAGCAAGGCCTCTGATCAGGAGACTTTGAGAAGCGTAGAACCACCTCTTAATTGCTGGTGTTCCCAGGTCCACCCTGACCCGGGGTGGTAGCACCTGTTAGCGTCCCAGCTATGGGCAAATAGTTAACCACCAAACTGGGGTTAGAACACTATGAAAGTGTAAAGATAGGTTTTAATACTAGAAATATTTTGTAAAAATTATTACCAGTAATAAATTTTTAAATAAAATTTAATACATTATTACCAGCAATACATTTTTGAAAAAAATATTACCAGCTATACATGAAAAAAATAAATAAATTACTAGCTATACAGTAAAAAAATTATAAGCAATAAATTTAAAAAAAAATATTACCAGCAATAAAAATCTTGTCGGCATTAAATAACCCATTGATGTTGATATGCCGTAAAACAAACCAACCAAACTAAACATTGACCAAGTTTTTATTTAGTCAACAGATAAACAATGATCGGGTTTATATTTGAGTCTATACTTAAAGATGGGCCAGGTTTATACTTTAGTCTATACACGAAAATTATTCGGGTTTATTCTAAAGCAAATGTTGAACAGATTTATATCTGGACTGTACGTAAGCGTTTGCCTGATTTATACATGTGTCTACATCTAAACATAGGTCAGGTGTATACATATGTCTATATGTAAACATTGGTCAGTTTTATACTAGAGTCTACAGGTAAATATTTATTGGGTTTATACTTGAGTCTATAGGAAAACGGACTTTATATTTGAGTCTATTTCTAAACATTGGTCGGGTTTATATATACGTCTGCAAGTCTTCACCTTGAATGTGGTCCTTTTTACGCAGTGGGCATTACTCATCTGCAGGTGATGCAGTCTGTATATTCCAAGTCACGCGGAAAATTTATTGATGAGACTTGCTTTCAGTAAATCTCTATCAAAGCAGAGTTACAAGTTTCTACCGTTCTGATAGAGTACAGATAATAATAATAATAATAATAATAATTATTATATTATTATTATTATTATTATTATTATTATTATTATTATAACAGAAAATGGCTAAAGTTGATTTCGCATAGAAAAAGGAATAAAAATTGTTCTGCACAGTTTATGAAAACTGCTTAGAAAATTAGTAGTGAACACGGGAACAATATTAAGAAGAACTGAAGAAGAAAGCAAATACGCAAAAAGAAGTAAAAAGGAAACAGGACTATGTTAACAAACCCTAATAAAGATGGCTGCCTGAAGTGTGTTTACAGAGTCAGCGAATTGAATGGCCTTCAATGGCGTCGACTAATATGAATATTTTTTTTCTTTTATGGAATGGAACTTGGGCTGTCGCTGTTGTCGGAGTATGCAGTGTAATTAAAGTATTGGTCCTGATTTGCTTGTGCATCAAAAAAAATTGTTGGTTTGTCTATTCACTTAAGTTTTGATAGGCGATATCTCGCTGGAAATCGAACTCTTTCTTTCTTTCTCATTTTTTTCTCTAAGTATGAGTGAACATGATGTAAGACTCATTGCTCACCAATAATAATCTATCGATCTCAGTCTGTTCATATCTATCTATCTATCTATCTATCTATCCCTGTCTTGGTCTTATGTCTCTCGATAAATGCATATCTCTTTCCTAAGTTATAACACTTATCCTATTCGGAGGAACGTGTATGAAATCTTCTGTATACAATACACACACACTTATATAATCATATATAAACACTTATAATCACCCACTATCTTTCCATCTTTTTATAGATACGATCACACACATGATTATCTATCTATCTATCTACCGTGAGAACAAAGATATTGTAAAAGCAGGAATGCTGTCAGTCGGTGGAAGTCTGAAAGAAATGATACTTAAGGCCAGCAGTCTTTGGAATAAAATACAAAATATCAGACATAGACCAAATAATACGATTAATACAAATACAATTTGTTACTTAGCTGACTGATGTTATATTTAGCACTTCGACTCTGGAGTTTCGTAGACGAATTGTTTAGTGAATGTCTGTCTACTCGTCGTTTTATTCTATAACTTAAACACTGTCTTTCCAACCATTTACTTAATCTGCTAGGTAGGTTATGCGTTTTTCCTCTGTCTTTATCTTCAATCTGTCGTGTGGGTATCACATTTTCCAAGCCCTCTTTTCTCATTGTATACCCTTGAAATTTCATCTATTTCTTCTTGATGTTAAACGTAAGTGTCCTTTTTGTTTCCTTTTTCTCTAAAACTTCGTTTCTTCATATGCTCGGCCAATGGTATTCTTAGCATCCTTCTGTAGAACCATATTTCTATTGTTTCAAGTCCCTTCTTCATCTGTGGGGAAAAAGTTCAACATTCATTGCCATATAGAAGGACTGATATTCAATTACAGTTCAAAGCTGTTTTCATTGTTTCTAACGAAGTTTTTTCTGTTTCTTAATACTTTGCTTGGCTTTTGGAAGGTATCTTTCGCTGTTCCACTGCACTTTCAGATTTTAATACCGCTCTTCCCGTCCTCTGTTAATGTTGTGGATTCCGAGATGAATTCGGTCTCCAAGGAATGACAAACGGAATAATTAAATATGAGAAATAAAATGTATTTACACAATCATACAAAGAGTAACACTGTTAGTAAGTCCAGGAACGCGGTTAGTAGCAGATACGGATAGATATATACAGTCTCGAAGTAGGACTTCTTTAGAGTCTACGTGCTTGTAACTGACTTCTACAAGAGGTTACCTCACACTATCTCCGTTCATATATTATCTCACTCTCGCCGTATATCCTCTCTTTCCGACTACCCTCACTGACTGTAACTCTGGGTATTTAACGGCAGCAGTCCCGGTACACTGGTAGAGTCCACTTATATGAAAAGGGGAGGACCCCATAACAGTTAAAACAATTCTCAAATAATTAAATTGTACTTTTTTGATTTTGGTATCTCCAATTTGTAATTTGGATATCGGGATGTTCCTTTTGCTAACAACCATGCATTCTGTTATCTTGCAATTGAAGTTTAGTCCATTCTTCTCGCTTTCCTTCAATACATTATCAAACTGATTTCTATGTCTAAAACTCAAGATAGACGTTTTTGTATCCATTTCCTTATTAGTAATCCACACCAGGAAATACTTGACCTCTTCTACAAATAACAGCGTTGTTGGTTGAAAACGTGCGCTAATTCGTAAAACGCTTGTTTTAAATTTGGCATCTCGACTCTCGTCTGACCTATTTGAGACCAGAATTTTGCCATTATAGCTATCATAATCCTGAAGATGATATTGGAATATACTGAAAGTATACGAAAAAATAAACATAAATAAATACAACCAAAGTACCTTGCTTGCTGTCTGTAATCATGAAACAACAAGGCTTATATGTCATTACGAAAGGATATTGAAAATAAACAATCACAACATGTCTAAATTGTTTAATCAGACATGTTTAAATAAAAAATATGTTGCCAAAATATACGGAATTTAAACATATTTATATTTATACACACATAAAAACATACACACAAATATATATATATATATATATATATATATATATATATATATATATATATAATCATTACAGCCCAAACAAGGTAATAAAAGCCATTAAGACATTAAGATGGTATATATATATATATATATATATATATATATATATATATATATATATATATATATATTGTTGTTCTAAAATTATAACATAAATATGTTATAAAATACAAAAATAGCCATTTTGATTCAACACTTCTGGTGTCTTATCAAGTGATGGTGCTGAATCTTTTTAACAACTAATAAGCCATCAACACCATCACTTGCTGGCACCAGAAGTGTTGAAACAAAATGGCTATTTTTGTATTTTATAACATATTTATGCTATAAGTTTCGAATAAATAATTATATTTTCTCTACTCTGGATTGAGTACTCTCTTAAGAATAATATTTGTTGGTTATTGAAATTTATTCCGTATACACCAATCCTATACACCAATCCTATACAGAAAGTTAGACAGTTAGGTAGGGCGTAGATCATTTTGAATAAGTTGGAAAATGATCCTGGAATTATATATATATATATATATATATATATATATATATATATATATATATATATATATATATATGTGTGTGTGTGTGTGTGTGTGTGTGTGTGTATGTATGTATGTATGTATGTATAAACATTGGTGTGATCAATAGATTACACGCCAAAAGGCCTCATGCAAAAAAAGTGGAGTGAGTTTAATAACAAAAAAAAAAAAACTTACATAAGAAAGAAAAAAATAACAAAGAAAACACACACACACATGCATATATATATATATATATGTTGAACAATTGGTATGACGTTTGCTTGATAAACTAACTGTCCGGGTTTCAAGTGGATGCGCACTGCTGATGAGTCCCAAATACAGGACTAAACGGCCGTCCAATGCTTTCTGCATTCTGTTAAGGTTTCAGACTCTATGAGTTACTTATAATTATCAAATTTTCCTAATAATTTCATTTTTTATATATATATATATATATATATATATATATATATATATATATATATATATATCGTTGTTGTAATCTGTCTGGTTAGTCTAGACACTGAGAACTGTTATTTACTGCTTAGGTTAGTGTTTGAATTTTGGTCTTTTTTCTTTGTTAGTTTGATTTTTCTTTCTTGTGTAAGGTTTTTTTGTTATTAGACTCATCCACTTTTTTTGCTTGAGGCTTTAGTCTATTGATCACTCCAATATTTACACACACACACACACACACACACACACACACACACACACACACACACACACACACACATATATATATATATATGTGTGTGCGTGTGTGACAAAATATAGTTTTAAGGTATGGTATATTTATGAGTTAAAGCATTCAATATCAGAGATAGATCATATGTAAATATAAAAGTTGACATTGATGTCAACACTTAGCGGTGACATTCTCTTTTATGCTTAAACGCAATATTCACGTTGTTGTCTTTTGGCTTTTCATTTATTAATTGGAGATATGTTATTAATAAAAAAATAATAATAAAATAACGTTTAAATAATAACATATGTCTTACAAATGAAAACCGTGTACCTAAAAACTGTTTCGTTTATGCTAGGATATAAAACTGAGCAGACATGTATATTTAGAGAATTGGGAAAAATCTGTATTTAAAAGCACTATTCACTCTAGCCGAGAGGTCAAAACACGCCAAATCACACACACACACACACACACACACACACACACACACACACATATATATATATATATATATATATATATATATGGGAATGAGTAGGATAAATAATCTACATACACGCACGTATAATTGCACGTAAGTATAAATATATTTCTTCCTCAGAAACTGTGCTCAATGCTGTGAAAACAGAGCTGTAAGTATAGTATATATCATATATACATAATATCCAACGTCGATAGCACGACTCTTCAGGTGCAAATCTATTTGCATCTGAAGATTGCAAGAACTGTATGAAACTCCGAGTCGTGCAATCGACGTTGGATATTATGCATATTAACTTTATATATATATATATATATATATATATATATTGTTTTGTTTTTTGTCTTTCTTTCTTTCTTTCTTTCTTTCTTTCTTTCTTTCTTTCTTTCTTTCTTTCTAGCTAGTTAGCTAGCTTTTTGCAGTATCTATTAGACTGACCAAAAAGTTTGTTCGCTTATTATGTCGAAAATCTAATTAATAATCCGAACGAACTTTTGAGCAAATCCAATCTCTCTCTTTCTCTCTCTCCTAATACACCCCCTCACACATATATATATATATGTATGTATGTATGTATGTATTAGGCGTATCGCAAAAAGAAAATAAGACCACGAAGTTTAAACGCTAAAATAAATACCGTGTCTGGTTCTTTCTTCCCTGTTTGGAGGGTTAAGACTTAAGAAAAAACAACAACAAAAAAAAAAAAAAAAACCCAAAAAAACTCCGCTTCCATGTTTTTCCTACTATTTTGTTAAAATTTGTAACCTTTGTGTATGTACTCAAATGTGCCAAGTAGTAAAATCCAAGTTTAATTAAACCATTTGTTCTCTTCGGTAAAAAAAATGCCGCTCACTTGAGATATTTCTCAGAAACATGTGAATAGTAACTGACGTATGATTGAGTAGGTCGTTTGCGCTTATAGCTTTAGAATACCAATTGCCCGGTGCAGAGCGAAGATTAGCAAACTAGTTATTATTTTCTCTGTGAACTTCTGAGACATTATTATGAAATGAAGACAGTATGAAAGGAAAGGAAGAAGAAAGGACTAACTATCAATTGACAGAAGACATAAATTATGGTTGTCAGAGAAATAGCCCCAGATACGAACTAAGAATTGGGGATGCCATAAGTACAGGATCAAATAAGTACAGGAGTTTAAATATGTGAGTAGTGTTTTAATAAATTTGACACCGTGATCCGAAGGCATATTGGAATAGAGAAAGACGCCTTCCAAAACCTAAACAAAGTATTAAGAAACAGAAAAGGATTCCTTACGACCCCACCAAATAGCGGGGAACTGCTGTGTAATATCAATCCATCTATATGGCCGTGAACACTGAACAATATCCTCAAAGCTGAAGAAAAGACTTGAGGCAACAGAGATGTGGGTCTACTGAAGGATGCTGAGAATACCATGGACGGAGCATGTAAGCAACGAGGAAGTTTTAAGGAAAATCGAAATGAATCAGAAAGAGACAGTTGAAACTAGTAGGACATTTAATGAAAAAAGAAGGGTTAGAAAATATGACACTAACAGGACATATTAGATATCCGAGAGGCTGAGTGAAAC